ACTTCTCAAATACATTTCTTATTACATGTATAATTATTAAGACTGTAACAATCGCGATAATATATTATATTTAAAAATGTTTCCTTTTTTTTTCTATCAAAATTACATCAAGTACACCCTGAATATTTTGCAACATTAATTCTCTATCCGCGTCCATCAGCCACTCGCAAACTTGCGATTGCAATCTAAACGTATAGACATCGGCTTAAGATGTCCCTTCGAATTTCGTGTCGCGTACAGGACGAATGATATCGGTTGATGAGACCAACTGATCCGAAAGAGATGGAGAGAAGGAGCGAGAGAACCGCGAAAGGGCAGAAATAGCCAGACGGCCGGAACGTCGAAAGTCCGTGTTCTTGAAGGCAACGGGGCGAGATGGAAAAATTGCCTCGATGTAAAAACATGAGAATCGCTTCTCCGCCGTCCACACTCAATAAAACGACCTCGACCTAAGAGATACGCCGGTCCATCGTGCCGCATATATATGGAATGGAGCACTCGCGCAAACACACGCGCGCGGGAACGAATAATATACATGACCATTACACACACACACACACACACACACATGTTCATGTCAACTCGAAAGGCTTCCTTTTGCAACAAGGCGAAGGAAACGGGAGCACGAGAGAAGGACACGAGGAGCTTGAACGGAGAAGGGAAGGAAGCATCAACATCCAGTCGAGTGGTCAGCTATCGAAACCTCCTACCCGTCGCCATTCTGTCCCCCCTCCCTCTCCCCCCCGGGGAGAGACCGGCTCCATCGACCAATAATAAAAAATATACGATCTGTTCGGGCTCTCGCACACGGACGCAACCGACCGGCACGCCGATCTACGTAGACGTAGGCGAATTATACTTCGAGGCCGGTTCTAAGTGATCGCATTTCCACATAGACGAGCTGGCCCGATACGATATGAAAGACTGCTCGGGTGCCGTTATTGCCGCGTGACGAGGGGGCTGAAAAAGGCCATCGCGCCAGCGGGGGGCGCCATGAGATCCGAACGAAACATTATCGAGTCGGATATTTTCTTTTTTTCGTCGAGATCTTTATGATCCTCGCTTGCGACGAAGAAAGGGAAAAAATGGAGAAAACGCTACGAGAAGGGAGAATCGTACGGTTTAACAAGAAAAAACCGATATTAGATGTGTGACAGTCTTACAAGAACGTGCTAAAGTCTTTATCGAAACATCATTCCATGGATTTATCTCGAATTTTTTCTTCCTTTTTTAATTTCCTGTTACGCTGTATCAAGTATGATAAAGCAATCTTAATACACAATCCTTGACTGCTTCTCATCATCTATGTTATATAAAAGATTATCTTTTTTATATTCAAACTAAAAAAAAATGATAACATCCAATTTTGATTTTTCTTGTAAAATGTAAATTTGAAAAAGTATCGACTTACAACACGCGCACACCGAGAAAGCAAAAAGTACTTGCTGGAAGAGCGTGAAACAGTTGCGCGAAATCTATCAACCGCGTTCCCCTTTGCAGTCCTTTGCGCCCTAGCGCGGCCAAGTTAACGGAAGAAAGATGATCCATTCGTCATAATATAAAAATGGCCCTGACAGCGTTATCTGTGGCCATTTCCTGCAGTCGTAGAGCCGGTTCCCCGGGCTCACTTGTCACTATGCCGGAGGTAATGATCATTACTGAGGGTTTCAACCCTATGCGCGGTACAGAGATATACGAACCTCGTAAGAGGAGAAAGAGAATCGCGGTTAGAGACCAAGAGAGAAGAGAGAGAGAGAGAGAGGACCGGTCTCTATCAAAAAGAGAAGACGCCGGGGTGGAGAGCAAAAGACGATGATATAGACTGTGTTCTCGAGCCTTCAACCCCCGAGCGCCTCAACCCCTCGCGAGGGTGGGACAAGATGGCCGCTGGTAGGACTTCCCGGCCCAGGTCGGGTTTATGTGTAGTAATAAATGGTAATTTAAAACAGCGAGAACTAACAATTTCTTTCTTTATTTCTTCCCCAGTGCTCCGCGCTCAAGAGCGCCCACGAAGAACGCGCTCGCCCGGCTTACACACTGACGCGTTGTGCAAACACACGTATATATACTCGCGTACACACCGCGGGGGCACCCGCTCGCACCTAGAAGGGTAGATCTTTCCCGAAGGTGGTAAGCGCGCGGGAGAAAGGCGCTGTGCGAGATCCGAGAGGATAGGGTGCTAACATCGAGCCGAGAGGGATAGTAAGAAAGAGAGAGAGGGTTGGCTATGGTGAAAGCACTTTTGTCGAGATATATCCAAGCCAAGAAACCGTGAACCAACCAGTCAGCCAAGCAGCCCACGTAATATAAAGAGATATGTGCCGCGGAATAGCATTACCATTAGGAGATATAGTTTAGCGGAGGAGGCGGCACAGATGAAATGAGATACTGCGGCTGAATCATGCATGAAGCGAAGAAGGTGCGATTCGCCGTTCTCCTCTCGCTCGACCGTCGCTGTACACGTTTACCGTAAGTATGTATGTATATGCGTTCACACACACACACACACACGTGTGTATATAAACCGGGCGAGACATCACGGTGATCTCTTCGCCCTCCCATAGTCGCGGATCTCTTCTCCGTCAACTTTCCCCGCTTTTTCTTACGCTTTTCTCTTTGCCACCTTGCTTAGCTTCCCGCCCACTCTTTCTCTCTCTCTCTCTCTCGTTCTCTTCGTCATCTCTATGTCAACTTTCCGTCTCCTCCTCGCGCAGACTCGATGAGAAAAGTGAATATGCTACAATATTCAAATGGCAGCCGCGCGACACTTTATTAAACGCGCTATTTGCATCGCCGCCAACGTCCCCTGCTCGTCCCCCAACCCTTTCTATTGCCCGCTCTCTCGCTACGTCGACCGACGGTCGACGGTCCTTTTTGGTTGCCGACCAGACAGAGACGAGCACGATGCCTGATTAAAAACTCGCCAGCGTTGCTGTGATAGCGACGCGTTACGCTTCGCACGTTTAAAGTATTCGGGTCGGGGACCGTTTTCTATCGCCGTGTAATCAAAATCACTAAAGTCTTGAAATCAATAAAAAGAGCAGATTAATGAATTTTTGCGAGTAAACAAAAATAAACTTTCTTGTAAAGACGCTTAAATAAATTCAAATCGACACAAACAAGTGTTTTAGCACATATTTCTCATTTTAAGTATGATGTAAATGTATCTATCCGCTCTCGATAATTTCGGATGAATAGAGAAAGTATGTGTAGTTTATAAAAAAAAAAAAGATTTTGATTCATTATTATGAGAGCCACAGTGCATGCAGAGATACTAGAAGAGTACTCGAGCATACTATCCCCGTAATTCTTCGCAGGACGGCTTGGGGCGCGCAGGCACACATTATGCTAATTTGTCTTTTAATCTCGTGGCACCACCGGTGCCGTCTTCTCTTTTCGTTCGAAAGGGAGGCTCGTATCCTCCGTCCAACCAAAATACAATCTGAGAGCGTGCAAGCGTACTGTATACTTTGAAGAACATGAATTGCTCCGGTATTTATCATAATATTATTTCTATTGAGAAAAGAAACGTTAAAGAACTCGTGTGTACAGACGCGTGTAATTACAGTTTTAAAGTGACTTTGAATAAAAAATAGAGATATACCTACGTAAATACATTATTTCCGACATATGAAAATATCTTAATTTCTTCGTCTTTTCCATAGCACGGTTCTATGTTCCATGTCGCGAGACGAAGCGACATCCAATATTTTTCTACGTCGACGAATCCATTCTAGCGCGAGAACTCGAAATTCAACCGAGAGAAATTCCGACGAGCGCATAGGTCAAAGGGCAAAAAGTGTCTTCGAAGAAAGAAATTCGGAATCACGACGTGAATGAAGTAGGCGGGAGGACCAGATGGTGGTGGCCGCGACGACAGTAGTGGGAGCACTTATGCATTTATGCATTCATATTTCCGCGGTCTCGAGACGAACCGTAAGACGACGACGTTGTCGTCTTCGTCGTAGCGCCCGAACCATAGCGATATTCCGCGCCGTCGAGAAAGAGGAGAGGTAGGGAAGCGAAAGAGGTGGGCGGAAAGTTGCTCCGGAATAATAATACACGCCGGCGCCCGCGCTAGCTCCGCTCTCGCAGGAAAAAATCTGAATACATGAAACGTAATGACAGAGTGTGTACGCCTCCGCTTTCGCCGGAGCGGACGCCAGATTCAGGATAGCCGTGTCGGGAGAAGCAGATGTCGCAGCAGCGCCGGAGAACGTCCTTCGACTTCCTTACGATACCGGCTTATCTCGCAGGCTAGAATCGCGAGAAACTCTTCGGGAAGAGGAAAAAGAAATTTACACCCTCCCTATATGTCTTATTCCCCATATTTGCTACAATAATAATACTTCACCAGAACCTTCAGTACAAGACTAAGATATTTTAAGTCTAAATAGAAACAAATAATCTTTTATCAAATTTAAATTTCGCAAAGTTTGCCATATATAGTTTGCAAGAAATGGAATGTTAGCGTTCTCCAATGAAGCAATCGCTGAAATTGTTGGCAAATGTTAAAACCTTTGACGCAATGGTGACCATAAGATTCGCTCTCGATGGTGAGCATCGCGAAGAACGAGGTTATCGAGGACGAGCAGAAGGACGTCGGCGAGAGAAAATAGTCGGCGACGCCGATGGCGTAAGGGTAGGAAGGTAGATGGATGAAAGGAAGGAAGGAAGGAAGGAAGGAAGGAAGGGCGCCGTCGTACCCGTGGCTCCGCCTATCGGCGCGCCGGCTCGCGGTGGTGAATACATTTAGCCTGGTTAGTTTACAAATGAATACAGCGATTGAAGCAACTTATAATATCAATGTACCTCCGACCGTCTCGCTCGCACGCCGTGCGCCACCCCTTGCTAGCATCTCGCTTCCACCCACTCTCTCGCGGGGTTCCATACAGAATGGCCATATTAACTTGATAATTAGCTCGGTTATACGACTTGCAGATGAGGAAAGACTCGGGACGGACGTCGGCTACCCCTACCAGGAGTGGTGCCAGTGTTCCTTGCTCTGCTCCCTATGCTATGCTCGACTCGGCCCGGCTCCTCGTCGCTCGTCGGATGGATATAGAACCCTTAGTTCGTATTCCTCTCCCTGTCTGCTAGGAACCCCGCCGTGGTTCGTCTCGCAGCCGGCAAATCCGACGACGACGTCATCGTCGACGTCGTCGTCGTTGTCGTCTTTGCACTCGTCGTGCTCTTCACGAGACGTGTTTTTCGGAGTATCAGTCTCTCAGTGAATTTTCAAAGTGCCTATCCTCACTTCGCAAGTGACAGGGTTAATCTAGGTGGTCACGTGCTCGAGCATCGCGACCACGTGCTATATACGAGCTTTACCTATGAGGATTGAAACAAACGGGGAAGTCGACGTTCGTCGTTTCTCTTATCAGCGACGTCCTATCGAGCTATATCGTGGTAACGATAAAAAGGTACGTTTCGACTAGGCTGGAGGAGAGTTTAAAATTAGAAAAAAAATTGTCATTATATAAGAGGTGGTCGCCGTCGATCCGCGACGGCGACCACCAAGGTGATGACGACGACCTTCCTCCGGATCAGGTGACGGGAAACGAACCGTGCGTGTGCTAGGTGGCGCCTTGAGAAACCCAAAATGGCCGCACCGCCGGCTGGCTAGACGAAAACAGCATCTCTCGCACGCGCGTTTCGAAGATGAGCGGCGAGTCGAGTCGAGTCGAGCCGAGTCGAAGCGCGCGACCCCGTGTGTCTTCTTCTCTTTGAGGACTCGCGCTCGCCAAAGGTCTTCCCATCCATCGCGCGCGATACGGGAATACAAACTACGAAGATATAACGCGTACCAACGCATTCCGAGAGATGACCGGCATTGAGTAAGCTCTCTGCCTTTGGAACCGCTCCCGCTCGCTCGGCTTACTCGCTTCTCCAGTCTACGACTGGAATACAGAGAGAACGCGGCGGCCATATTAGGCTTTGACTTGTCTCCTTCTCTTTCTATATTATTCTCTTTTCGTTTCTTCTCTCGTCTTTTCCTCCTCTTTCTCTACCTCTGGTCCCTTCGTTTTCGTATTTAACGACGTATCTCTGTGATAAACGCGGGAAATAATGACATTTGCTAATCGTGACATTAGATCGCTTCGAATGACATCTGGACGCGACTTACTCTTTTCTCATATCTACCTGGGAAATCGTGCAGATTTTTCTTAATGAATATTATTAGCAGTTTGAAGCGCTTTTTCATCATCGATTACTTTCCACGAACATAAACAGACTTTACGGTCATATGGCAATGGCTCGGCTTTAAAGACTTTATCGCGTGCGTTTGCTTTATGCTTTCTTGATTGCGAATGCCATTGCCAGCAAATTTCCCTGAGGTATGAAGATTTCTTAATCATCTCGCGTGCAATCTTTTACAAAGCTTCGTAACGCATTGTAGAAGAAGCGTAAAGAAAACTGTGTGTTGCGCGTGTTGATAAATTATTATTTTCATTATATTATCGTCAATGAAGACAGTTTGAAAATATATATAAATACTCCTTTTGCAATATTAAATTATATAGCTATAATTATATAATTTAATTTCATATATTATGTCATATTGTGATGCGAAATTAAATCTAGATTTGACAAATAGAAGTTGATCGCCCTATACGATTATAAAACCGCGTTACAATTCTTTCTTTCTTTTTTTACTTTTTTACTTTTTAACTTGTTTTTTTTTTCATTTTATATATAATTACAAAGTCACATATTATTTTATAATTGTTTTCATTTCTTGTCTATTTGTTCTGCCACCCAAATTTCAGATACGCCCTACTTTATCCAGTCGCGTCTTCGATCGAACACGATTACCATCATTTTCTCGCACCGTAACATCGTAACACGATATTTCAAGTTTACCTCTACATCCGATGGCACCCGTTGCAAAATGATAGCCGCGAAATCGTCCTATCGTAAAGCGAAAGCAAACGAAGGAGGCGGACCCGGCGACGCGATACGTACGTGCCGTCACGTACGCGACGGGAGTTTTTACTGAAATCAAATCTAAATAAAGCGAGTTCGTAACACGGCGATATACACGAGCCCAGCAAATTGTTCCCATGGCGGTACCCATGGCGTGAGATACCGCCGCGTTTTATCGCTATCTCAAAAGTTTCAACGACAGCCGTCGGCGCATTCGTTAGTCGCGCTCGAATCGGCGTCTGATCAGTCCATCCGTTTTCACTTCATCATCTCTCGCTCGAGAGCCAATAAAATTAATACAACAAAGAGAAGAGAAAATGGAAAAAAAAAATGATAGAGACTTTAGACTTTCGATCTACTTAATATTCTATGAAAACCCTCAATGTACAATAATAAATCAAATAGACAAAAATTGTTCATTAATAAGAGGCTCATTATTTTAAGATTCAAGTGTATTTTGCAAAATTCTTTTTGGGCGAAATTTGTTTAGCTCCAAAAATCGTTCATCTAAATTCAAGGGTAAGACAAGTGTCTATTGTAAAAATTTTTATTCTTGACAATTTATCGAGCGACGGCCTTAAAATATCGTTGCATACATCAACACCCTGTGAACTCTACCGACTATTGGTCGACGGGACGCGTTCGCGAGGCCCTCGATTACGTCCCCGACGGTAATCGGCGTCACGTTGCACGCGGAAAACGAGTTTTCACGGGCGATAAATTCAAGAATAGCGCGAGCGCGAACGAGAACTCGGCCGGTACCGCGGGGTGTACGGCAAACAACAACACCTGCCGCGAGTCGCAGTGTGGGTGCCGCGAGAGAACGGTATATATGGGGAGGCCCGACAAAAGTAATGTATGCACCCTTGTACGCTGTACAATGGAAACTCCGAGAGAGCGGAGCCACCTGAGCCTGCAGGCAGGTCCGAGCATCATTCGGGCCGGCTGTTTGGAATCGGCCGTTGTGGCACCGCTAATTATTCCTCTCGTATCGAGAGAGCCGCGTGAGAATGTCAGATGAATGATAATTAGATTAGCCTGGGGTCTAAAAGAAGAAATTGCGATTCGATAATCGTGATTCCGCGAATCCCGCTTTCCACTGACAGCGATCAGCTGTTCGCGACGTCACGTATCGCGGAGTACGTCCCGCTAATTATTCGCGTAATATCACCTGTGGCGTAATGTCATCGATCTCACGCATTACGTTTCCCGCGCGCGAATATATAGTTGGGATTTCTAATTATTTATTCGCACGGCGAATAATAACGCGTGTACGTCTTCGGGGCGATAACAAACCAGCCGACGCCATTATTTTTTTTCCCTCGTCCTCGACAAGGAGGACTCACGGCGAATTCCGGACTAGCAAAAGGAAGAGGGAGGAGACGAGGCAGCGAACTAGAACGAGAAGTCAGGGCACTCAGCGTGGCTAATTGCTCAAATCATTAAGAAAAAAACATGAAATCTAAGGCTCGCCGTACAGTGGGAAGCCATAGTAGATAGCGATCGGCTGCGCGTATATACCGTAATGAAAATAATCATGGTAGTCTGCGGCAGCGATATAACTACGTTTCGAGCCAGATCTATTCGCGATTCGTCGCGGTCTCTCGTTCGCTTGTCCTTGCGATTGAAGTGCGTGCGCGCAATGTTTTTCGATACATCGGAAACTTTGATCTCGAAAGTCTGTTCTATGAATTACAGTTTCACACTTTCAATAATATATATAAGAATCATAATCTCTGTTCTTTTTCGCTCTATCTTTTGAAATAAATCGGTAAAGTCAATTATGTACACGCATGGACTTTTTTTTTCAGACTCGATCTTATGAAAAAGAAAATCCGTCTCTTCGTTATGCACGCGAAATATTAATCTCGCGAATAAAATTACGAAAAGTAAGACAGACCTTTTGATTACACGTTATTCTCGACGAAAATCCGTTCAAAGTCGATGAATCACGGTCGACACGAAATTTTGTCGCAATGCGAAAGCGCTGCGGCGAGAAGTAAAAGAAGAAGTAAAAAAGAAACGTAAGAAAAGACTGTAAGAGAAAGAGTAAAAAGAAAAAAAAAAAGACAGAGGGAGAAAGAAGAGCGAACGCGCGCGGAGGAATAAGAAAACCGAGGAGTGCGACCGCGCATTTGCGTATTGTTATGTTAACGCCCGCGCGCGAAGTAACAATCGGCACCAAGCACAATGGCGAAATCCCAGCTGAAAAGGGGGCAGGGAAGGTTGTAGAAGCCGAAAGCAAGGGTTGGGTAGGGACAGGGGGGAGGAGGGAGCGAGAGGGGAAACGTTATCGCATTATCGTATTGCGGCGCCTCGTTGCCGGGACTCGCTCTGCCCTTACGTAAATTCCTGCAAACAAAGATTTACACCGATACAACCGTGAGCACCCGATACCGTTCCCTCTCTTCCTTCCACCCTCGTTGCTCCATCTTTCCTCGAGCGAGTTTGCGAAACCATGCCGAGTAAACGGGGGACGACGCGCGCGTTTGCCGCCCACTTTAATATTCCTCGTTTCCATAAAAATATGACGTTCCTTGCGAGAGAATCTCGAGATGACGGCCGCGACGAAGATTCGCCACGAGCCATGAAGAGAATCGACTTTGATGATAACGACGGATTTGATGGAACTGCACACGTCAATGCTTGTTTTCCATCAAAATAGAGAAACTACTCTTGTGTTATCATTACACCGCGAGAAACAAACTCATCATTTAGTGTCTGCAAACATAATAGTCAAATGCCAGGAATATCGTGAACGTGAAAACTAGAGAGGCTAACAATATTTGTCTAGTCTACAACTTGTTTTTCACAATATATTTCTACGTTAGAATAACAAATATACTTTCAACTGTATATCTTTAACATTTTTTTTTTTTATTACCACTCGTATAATTGTTTATCGGATGTTTCTCAAGTTTAGACAATTCACCTTCTCGATCGATCTATATACGATGTAGGCAAAACAGACAGCCCCTATGTTATAAAGGATAGGCTGAGGGATTTAACGGAGAACGGCGGAGGGTGGACAGAGCGAACGGTGGCGGGTCATGGGTGGGTGGCGAATATGCAAATGTAATTGATATTACTTTTTAAATATTCCCCACTCTACCCGACAGAGAGAGAGAGGGGTCACCCGTCTGTCGCTCGCCTGCAGCAGAGGGTGCGCCTGCTTTATACACTCTTATTCTAAGTGCCTTTTACCCCCATGCCGATAACCTCCCACCGTTCTGCCTCCTATTCGGCAACTGCAGCGACCCTAGTAAGTAAAGGTAATTAATAGACCCCGAGGACCTCTATCGCGAGATTTCGACTGTAGTTGCCGATAAACCGTGGCGAATTATCGCGTTTCGATAATTCGTGAAATTTCATTTCCGCTGTGTATATAACTCTGCTCTCTGAACTCTGAATTGCACGATTTTATAACGGAAGAATGTGTAGAAATAAAGATAAAAGGAAAATTACATCGTGTCAGAAATTTATAACTTGTTATGTT